TGAGGTAGGGACATTATCAATCTTGGGTATTCAAATATGTAAAGTTCTTCAAGGCATGGGAAACTGGCACCCTCATGACTTATGTTCCATTCTTCCCATTCTGTCATCCATTTAAAACTCAAACATGTAAGGGATCGAAATGGAGCACTTGAGGAGGAATTCCCATAAAAGTCTTAGCCGATCACCTTTATTCCATCAAATATGTATACCTTGAGACTCTTGAGGAGAGGTAGTTGCCCTAGCATTGGCAAGCTTACACAATTTTTACAACCTCTCAAACATAAAGACACTAAATTGGGTAAACGAGGATCAACAAGCCAGTTTGTGAATCGAGTACACCTATAGTATGTAATAGTAAGCTCTTTAAGCTATAATTTGGTTGGATTTGGCTCCAACGCCTCTAATACTTGCTCTTGTTTTTGTGACATCTCACAGTTTACCACTTGTCCCCAATTTAAAATCAATTTATCCAAAAAATGTTACTCTTTCAGTAATTTAGCCTCCCTCATAGTGTTAAGATCAACTAGGTTCTCAAGATTTAAAATGGTCAGTGTGCCCCTTAAATAGTTCAAACCTCCTATATCATTTAAATGAGAACCTTTATGTTCTTCCAAAACAAAATAAGTCATTGTTCGAAGATGCTTCAACTTTCCTATATATTTGGACATCTCTATTATGCCATTATTTTCTAGGTCAAGATGACGTAAGTTGATCAATTTGTGAAATTTTGGTGACAACTTTTTCAACATTTCACAATCGTTCAATTTCAATGTTTGAAAATTGATCATCGAGCATATTGAATTTGGCAACCTTTTAATTATAGACCTTGAAAGATTTAGATAGCGAAAATGCTTTAAATTGTTGATATCATTATTTAGTTTTTCTACCTCCCAGCTTCTTGTCAAAGATAATGAACGCAAAAACTTAAGAAGAACAAATCTAGAAAGCATATTACCTTCTATTCCATAAGGGTTAAAGCTAAGAAAGCTGTGTGGTTCTTGACACGAGAAATTATCTTTAAAATTCTCTATCACTATTATATCATCCTTAGCTGCCCAAGAAAGATAACAAGTTTTTGATGGAATTTCATGTGCCCGATCACCTTTTACTTGTAAAGAGAACTCTCCCATCACAGATTTTGCCAAGTCATTCAGAAGTTCATGTATAATGAAGTAATTACCACCTTCTTTTGATCGTTCCAAAAATGATTTTGACTCTAAAGAATTGAAACTTTCATTCCCTACTTTTTCTATGCTTTCTCTTGTTTCATTACTAGAATGCAACAAGCCTTCTGCCATCCATAAGTTGACAAGGACATTCTTGTCTATGCTATAATCTTTAGAAAAGATAGAACAATAAGAAAAACAATGTTTTGATTTGATGGTGGCTAATGATAGCTCAATCTTGAAGATAGGATTATGTTGCTATCATCTTTTGACAAACTCCAAATGTCACTCTTCAAAATCTTCTCCCAATCTTTAGGAGATTTGGCACATAACAAGCATCTCAATGATTTTATTGCTAGAGGCAATCCTCCACACTTCTTGATAATTTCTACACCAACTTGATCTACAACATGATGTTGATGTTGGTCATTAAATGTATATTTTGTAAATAACTTCATACAATCATCATGTTGTAATGTCTTCAAATCACATATTTGGGTATAGTGCATGACTTCAGCTACCTTTTTGTTACGCGTTGTTACAATAATGTTACTCCTTTCAGCAACATCTTTAGAAGGAGTTTGGAAGACCTCCTAAACATGATTATTCTCATTCTAGACATCATCAAGAATGAGAAAAAATTTCTTGCCCATCAATTTCTCTTTTAATTTACATTGAAGATCATGAAAAGTATCTAAAGGGTTAACTGGTAGACAATCAAGTTCCTTGAGAATTGTTTTGGTAGCTTGAATGTGATCAAAATTTTCAGAAATACACACCCAAGCTGTACGCTAAAAATGGTTTTTGATATTTTTGTCATCATAGACCAGTTGTGCAAAGGTTGTCTTTCCCAACCCACCTAAACCCACAATAACTATCAGGTCAAATGGATTCCCACTCTTGTTGTGTGACAATAAATGATTGTTTATCTTCTCTCTATCAGCATCTGTCCTATATATATTGGATTCATCTATTAAAGACGTTGTTGGCAATCTCTAGAAGCCTTTCTTGCTCGCTTCAAGAGGAGTGCCAGCAGGAGGGCCTTGCCTCAATCCAAGTATCTCATTTTGTTTTATGAGATACTCTAGATTCTCAAGCACTTACTTCATCCTTGACTTTATGTTCTTTTTGTTGGCACCAACGAGTAACACTATAGTTTGAATCATCCTCGAAGACACTGTCCTTAAAAGTTATTTTCTCACACTAGTTAATCGAGTGGCGGCTCCCTAGGATTAAATAAACTTATCTTATAAAAATAAACAAGGACATAGAATAACAAAGACTAGCAAAATAATACTCAGGCAGCACAACATAGTATAGAGGTGGAGGAAAGAATTGGCTTGAAAACTGAAGAGCCTGGCACTGGACTTACAACACTCCTTGGTATTTATAGACAAGATTAGATAACCTTTAGACAGTCTGAAAGCATGATTTAATTTCTAGTTTCATGAACATTATGGCTCATTAACTAATTCATTCTAGCGATTTCTAAACGTTGCATTTGAAAACAATTAAAGAAATTAATTTTCAATTTTAATAGCCTTAAATAGTGTTTAATATTATTCATAAAAATATTTATTCCTTTTGAAATACCAATATATATTTTTTAAAATATCCAACAATCCTCCACATGTTTCAAAAGGAAAAAAACTTTGAAAAGCTATTTTATACAAATAATTTTGTAACTTTGCAAAATAGTTTCCAAATTCTGAAAGAAAAAAAAATAAAACCAATGCCTCTTTAACTCAGGGAAAATTAGTTGTTTTTAACTGTGACTACCCTCTTTCAGCCTATCATATGTGCGTGAGTCGACTTCTCCTCCATGCCCATTTCTAGCCCACTTTCATTCCTTTATACACTAAGAGTTTTACTCATGTGGGTAATATGAGACTTCTCTTTTTGACACACTCACACAATCAGCCATATGTGTCAAAAGGATCTTTATCATCTAAGTTATTAACATGAAAGATAATCACTTTGAATCTGATGTCTTTTAACTTAAATCAAACCTAGATTAATAAAACTTAGCACACAGAAAAGTTGATATAACTTTGTTATTGAACCAACAGATCTTGAGTGTATACTAGAGGTCTTATTAACTGGATTATACCCCCACAGTCTCTGCTATTAACGATGGTTTTGCACGTTATTGATCATGTGCACACTTGGATTTAATAAATGCTCTAAAATTTTGCCACGATCTTATAGGAGTGGCCCTACTCCATATTTATATAGGTGTTTTTATCAAATATATCTGCAATGAATACACCATCCATAAGGACTATGAAAAATATTAACAGCTTTTGCTCAACTTCTAATCAATGCATTCTAGCACTTTCTCCAGCAATAAGAAAGGACCAAAAGTTTGGTGCTAGCAGAACTAATAAGTAACTTGTTCTTACCCATTAAACCTTCTTCATAGGATCTCCAATCATAAAGGTTTAGGTTGTCATCACTGTTAATTTCAAATAGACTTAAGTCCTATTCCCTTTGACATTTTAATAATTAAAATCATCCTTAGGGGCTAGTTAACGGATCCGTCAGATTTACATCTGATCTCACATAATTAACTGAGATAACTCTCTCTTTTAGCATACTTAATTGTATCTTAAACGATATCTATATATGCCATTGTTCTCTTTACAATAACTATTGCCATTTAGCAATCACAAATTATTGACATGGCTTGTGTCGGTTTTACTCATAATAGAATATTCACTAAGAAGTTTCTCAATACTCATCCTCATTATTAGCCAACTTCAAAGTAATAAACTCTAGCTCATAAAATATTTTATTTGGCTACTAATAAATTTTTTCTCATCTAAATATAAAATTAAATTAACATCATTGTATTATTTTAAGACAATAGAAATCCATTATTCATGATACCAATATTTATGGTATCCCTCAAATGAATTGACTCATCCTCTTATGAGACTATTTGATATGCTCAATCTCCATACAACATAACTATATCATGAGATTAATATTAATCAATGTAGTAAACTCTCTAAAGTTGTTAGTGCACAAATAGATTGAGCAATAAAGTCATTCCATTTTCATTTTTTTTAAAATATGTTAGCATCATGGGAATGCTCATTGACAAGTGTCAGTTTTATATCAAAATAATTGCTAAGACGATTTCCCACAACTTAGCCTCCAATTTTAGGTAATGCACTCTAACTCTACTATGATCCCATCATCATACTTGTTTTCATCACTATTAAAGGTGGATTATCTTTAGTGGATTTCTCACTTGAATTTATAATTCAATTAATATATGTGTATTTATACAATAGGAATCCACTGTACACATCTTTTGAATATTTTATTTATCTCATGAGACCATAATACATAAACAAACCATTATTCACAACAGTAAATATTTGTGTCAAGATAATTAAATAGGGCATGCACTTATTTCGAAATACATTTATCTACCAGACAAATGATTAAAATTGTGCCACTATCACGATGTTTTTTTTGTAAGCCACATAATTTCATAATTAACAAACTTTGCCTTCATGCAAATAATAGCCTCCTTTTAATTACTTTTTGTCTCTAAATCACAACACAAAATAATATCTTTGCATTTATAAAATAAGACTAATATTTTGGCACAACACATTTTTCAGTAAAGCAAACTCATTTTTTGCAAGACACTTGTCCACACCCCCCACTTTCAAATATTTCAATGACATGAAAAATATTTTCAATAATTCTAATTAAATTAGAATCTCACCATATAATCTCTTCCCATTTTAATTAAATTAGAATTTCTTATAATTTTAAATTTACTACAAACATATCAACACATGCACAAACAGTCTAGTATAAAATAAGGTGTGCAAAGCTTTTTCATACTTTGAATAAAACTTTAACACCATGTTAAGTTCTTCACTCATTTTTCCTACGCAAATAAATTCAATTGTGATTAATTTCAGTCATGACACCCATAATCATAAAATATCACAAACCAATATGCGTTTTTGAGAAAAAAAAATTCAACACCTTTAATGACATTTATTTATTTATAAAACCAATAAGAAGAAATGAATGATGGCCAGACCTTGTATTACTACTGCTTTAATGTCTTGAAAAGACAGTTGTTATCTCCACTTATCTTCCACCTCTCATTCATAAAGTTCCTGCTTAATATATATTATAAAACCAAATGCGTAATAGAGAAATAGCTTCAATGCCTTTTTATGATGATCTACAATTCACATATCATTATTCTTCCACGAGTAATAGACACAACATTATTCTACTATCAAATTCTTTTAAGGCACCACATGACTTTGCTACTAATACAAATCAATGGTTTATTGTGCTTCAAAAATATCATAGGGTTTTATTCAATATTAGATGTACCTATAAAAATAGGTCTCAAGTTGTCTCAATGTTACAGCGATTCGAGTATCTCAACTGCCATCAGTGTTCCCCAGGTTAACACTTTTCATCTAAAAGGAAGCATTTTTAAGGTCTTAGGTAAGTTCAGATAGAGGGATATATTGGACACTCTTTGGTATTCATTAATCATAACCATACTAACCCACTTCAAGAGTGTGCTCTTATCTGAACACTTCGTCTCATAACAAATCTCATACCCCCATCATCGGACCTAGAGCCTAATTTGCACCTTCATTAGTTACACAAACACAATTATGCAGACATAAATACATGAATGGCTAAAAAGCCTAATATCACTCAATATTGCAATAAAGCCTATTTAAAGGTATTGACCAAATAACAGTTTTAAATTTGGATATTTCCTTGTGAAACCCGTGGGAAATCTTTATTGCAATAAATAAATGATGACAATGGTTGGTCAATTCAAAATAAAGTACCATTATTGGTTTTGATAATGCTTCATTACAAATCAGTTATTTGTCAAATTCTTAACACATACCTGAAACAAAACCACAACAAATAGCAATCCGTCCATACTATATCATATACACGTCCTTTAATCGATCACTTCAACCCCAAAATCCATTAATATCTTGAGTAAAATTATAGATATTCTTAGATGCGTACCTGTGACAGAAAGCCTAGCCGTGTGAATGACAGACATCTCTTCATTATTGGCACCAGGCTAGATAGGCATGCATTATTGGTGTTCATGTTCATTATTCACCATTGTCCATTTAACATACTGGAAAATAGCTCTTGAGATTATTGGCACTAGTGAATAAAATTATAGTTTGAGTTATGCCAAAAAACATTATCCTTAAGAGCTATTCCGCCATACCAATTGATTGAGCGGCAGCTCCCCAAAATTAAAAAGCTTATCTTGTAAAAATAAACAAGGACACAAAATAACAAAGACCAGCAGAATAATACTCAGGCCGCACAACATAGTATAGAGGTCGAGGAAAGAATTGTCTCGAAAACTGAAGAGCATGGCATTGGACTTACAACACTCCTTGGTATTTATAGACAAGATTAGACCACCTTTGAACAGTCTGAAAGCATGATTTAATTACTAGTTTCATAAACATTATGGCTCATTACACTAATTCATTTTAGCGGTCTCTAAACGTTGCATTTGAAGACAATTAGAGAAATCAATTTTCAATTTTAATAGCCTTAAATAATGTTTAATATTATTCATAAAAATATTTATTCCTTTTGAAATACCAATATAAACACTTTTCGAACAGCCTTTGATTAACGATAGTAGTAAAGCAACCTTGTACCTTGCCAGTCAGAGTCTGCGATTCAGCATCCAGTTTCTGTCGCAATGCCTCAGTAGTAATCTCATCGATCAAGTCTTCAGCCTTGAAGACTTCATCCTTGAGCTCGGCAAGCCACTGCTTCACGTTAGGATTTCGATACTGCCTTTCCTCTGCATCTTCAATAACCTGATTCACAGGCAGAAGAATGATGCGCAGCTTTTTCAGCAAGCCATCCTCGAGCTTCCTGCCATGGAAGAAGTCAAGAACTTCACGAGAAGCCAATTTCTGGAAGGCCACCTGAAGGGAAGAGGACAGAAACGCTCCAGCCACCAACTCAGCCATTGTTTCCTGTGTCTGTTAAGAGTAAAGAAGAAAACTTAAGAAAAATGGAAGAGAGACGTTGTGGACGAAGAATGAACAAATCAAAGCTAGACTCTCACTTGGTTGGTTGGTTATCTGCAGTCACTGTGAAATGGAAATCTGAGTTGCAGTTATGAGACACAACAGTTACGTTGGAGAGATGAAATGTGTTTCAATTATGCTCAAGTCTCCAAAATTTAACGTTGATTTCCTTGTTGAGGAATGTCCATAATTCCTTACTCAAGATTTGGGTTGAGATTTGAGATAAGATGCTTCAAAATTTATTCAAATATTATGCTCAGGAGAAAAGTACTGATTCCCATCTTCAATCATTTTCTTTTCTTTTTCCATCTTACTCATTCCAGACCCAAAGTATACCAAGCAAAATTCGGATTCCAAAACAAGTGGAATGGATAGGAATAATAAAAGTCAACTACAAACGAATCTGGTAAGGAGAAAAGGGAATAAGATTTTTTTTTTTTTTAATGACATATCCTCTCGTTCAAAGTATAAAATACAAGCGGTTACCAACCATATTCTATGTACCAGTAAAATTCTTATTCTTATAAATATATATATTGTTTTCTCTTTTTATTTTTAGTTTAAAAAGAAGTTAGTAAATTCACACAATAATCTATATTTATAAATATAATAGGTAAAGTGGGGAAAAATCTTACAACTATTAAATTGCTTATATCTTGAATCAAAATTAGTTTAAAAAAAATGCGTATATCTCAGATTAAGGATGTTTATGGATGTTTATGGTTGTCCCCATATCAATGTTGGCCCAATTCCATCCTGATCATATCTAGACAAGTCTATCCCAGTCCAAAAAAATAAAACGAGACAGGATTTTGCAAACTTGGATAAAAATATATTTGGGATAGAACAGAACTCAAAATTACCATCAGAATGTCCCGTCCCTAATATATTATTATATTTTTTCTTTTAGTAATGTCTACTATTTTGTTTATTCTGTTACAGTACATTTTTTTTTATTCACTCTATTATTTTAGTTACATAACAATTTGCTCAGTGCTCTGCTCACAATGGCGTCGCGTTTCAAAAATAAACTTGTTCATTTAGGAGATCTGTCTTGACGCATCTATTTGCTATATATATGAATGCTTATATCAGAATCTACTGACAAATGAAGGTGCAACGTTTCATTCAATAAAATGCTTATATCAGATCTTATGTTGCACAAGAATGCTCGGTTCAGAACAAATTTATTTTATTTTACACATAAAATTTAATATCCTACGCTCTACTCATCATTTATGGTTGTGGTGTGCTTAACTTCAAGTTGTAATTATATTCTTTTACTGTAAATTGTAGTAATTGTGACTCAATAATTAAATATATGTACTTACATTGTTTTGGTTTTGAATTTAGCAAATTATGTAATTTTATAAATATTGTTATTCAGACCTTTCTTTTATATTCTATTTATTTTATTAGGATATGTCCCGGTCCCTTTCCATCTTGCCTAATTGTAAACGGGATGGAATAAGATACAAGACAAAATTTAGTCCCATTTATTTTTGAGACAGAACACATGATAGTGTTATCCTAATTTCATTTTGTCCTATGAATACCCTTATTTTAAGCTGAAAGGAGTATAAAGTTTCTTTATCATTTATTTGATGATCAACATCCAATAGTTTGTAATTTTTGGGTCATTTATTATAATTTTATTGGTTTTTCTCTTATTTTTAAAATTATTTTTTATTGTATTTTGGTCAACTAAAAGTTAAAGTTAATCTTTATTAACTATATGAGTCAAATTACATTATTTTTAAAAGTTTATGAAAAACATTACATAAAAAATGAGTTTAGTATTCTAAATACTCTTAAACCTATATATAAGGCCAATTTATTCTTATTCCAAAAAAAAAAAAGTTAGGATATTTTAATTATAAAAGTTTGCTTAGATGATTTTACTTATAACAATTCATAATCTCATGATCTTAGTGACAAACTAAAGGGCAACGTGTACCGTATGGTTTCGACACACTTCTAAACTAGAGACATGCACATCCTTTTTTATTAATTTTAATTAAAAGAATATGTGTATGTTTTACTAATAATTATAAAAATAATAACAAAGATGTGCATTCAATGCACTTCTTTTAAAAAGTGCAACGGGTACATCTGCGGGTGGGAAGAAGAATACAGAGTTGGTCTCATTGTGTCCCGCGTACTCTTTCTAAATTAAATTCCCTAGCTCCATTCGTATATTTATACGCTTAGAGAGAAACAGAGAATATGATTGTATATAATGTCCCAATTTTATAATTAATATTCAAATAAATAATCTACGGTCCATTTTGTCAACCTAAAGGATCTAAATTTAAAGAAAATCAAGAAGAGTAAGTTGAAAGGATTCAAATCTATTCACGCATTCAAGACATTACCACATGGTATTGAAAATCAGACCAAACCGGTCAGGTCAACCCAGAAACCGATCTGGGTTTACTCTTAACCCGGTGAGGGAGTAAATCGGTGTAACCCGGTCAAGCCAGGTTCAACCCGGTATAACCCGGTGGGTTGACTGGGTTAACCGGGTTATTATTTTTTCAGACTTTTACCCTCAAAATGACGTCGTTTTTTATTTTTTTCATTTTTAATTTTTTAGAGCTCTGAATTTGAAAATAAAATAACAAACAAAAAAGTAAAATTGAAGTCAAAAAATAAAAAAATAGAGGCAGAGCATGCTAAGTCCAAAAATATAGTATTTTATTATTGTTAGACTTTTGAGTGGTTGAATTTGGTTGAATGTTTTTATATTTAATGTCTTTTTATTTAAATTATATTATTTTAATCATGACCGGTTTGCCACCAATTCAACCTCGATTGAGCCACTAACCCATGACCCAATGTCATGACCGGTCCGGTTTTATGTACCTTGCATTACCATGTAAGAACCTAAACACACTCTTCAATATCTAAAGTTCATAATTCAAGATGACCAGATTTATTCGAGTTAATCTTAATTATGCCAAGTTTATTTGAAACGTGCTTAAAAAAATCCAACTATGCTTATGTGAAATTTAATAAAGTTTACATTGATAATTGAAAACTTAATACAACCCTCCTCATTTATCGGCGTTTGTAACTAACTATATAACATAAGCAGAGTTTTTTAATCAATTTCAATTTTTATTTAAAAACAAAAAGGTTTTTCTAGTAGTATAACACTATGATGTACATTTCTTCTACCATCACTAATATAAGACTAAACATTCAAAAAGTAAAAATAAAAGTATATGTATAAAGTAACCTCTTGCATAATTGTATTCATTTTTTCTTAGTATTTTCAAAAATATTCAAAACAAACAATTATTGAAACTTCATCTAGGTACGTGTAAACTGATATAGTCTAGGATAGGATTTGTGAATATTAAATGAAAACTAAATTAAAGGTTATTAATAAGAAAAAAATTTAAATATTTGGACTAAACCCATTCAAAAGTGGGTTTGGCTTGAATTTTTTCCCTTTTCTTTGAGTTGGCTCATCAGATTTGGCCCCAACTGCTGGACTCTATATCAAAAGCGCCAAATTGCCCCCGAAAAAAGAATCAAATAAGATAAAAGACAACACTAATATCTGCGTTTGAGTTACTGATGAAACTTGACCATGGCACGATTCCTTAGCACACATGCCTATCAAGAACTCGGGCAGTGGTTAATCCACTAAAGCGCACAAACATCTCGCTCAAATTAGGTGACAAAACTGCAGACAATATTTGAATGTAATATAAGAACTTATTAATAGTTTTTCTTTCTTTCTTTCTTTCTTTCTTTTTTTTTTTTACCAACAGAACCTATTAATGGTTGAGTTCCCCTGCATTTATAAAAAGAAAACATGTTTATCGCCCTTTCTCTTTCTCTATCTGACCTTTTTTCCCATAATCAATCCACCATTCAAGCTTCAATCCCCTCAAAACCTTTTATGTAGCCTTTAACCAATGGAAAGTATATATTTGCACTGAAAATTAATCATTGAGAATTAAAATCTGATCAAATGTAGAAGACCAGTCAACTAAGAATGTAAGTTATCATGGAGTATGGCTTCTTGGTACCCCTCTCGTGGACGTGATTTTTGGTAGAAACCAAAATCTACAAGCCAATATAGAGTCTCAATCTATTGACAAGCAGATATTAAGTCAATGATGAGAGGCTACTGGCTGCCAGGTTGCATGAATAAAACTCCCATAATAGGCCAACAATAATATGAGATTTGGGTGGTTTTGGTACTCCATACACGCATCTGGCGTAGTTCTGATAGAAACAACTTCTCGGCACTCAACACCTAGAGTGTGTTTAGGCAGTGAGAGATACACACTAGCAGTCATGTTTTTTAATAGAAGTATTATAAAGCCTTAAGAATACACAATCACGCAACCGGTGCTTGGTCATCTATGAAGATTGGCTTAAGCGCTTGTGCTTGATTAAAATCCAGACAGCTGACAATGAAACAAAAACATTGCGTTACAAGTAAAGCCATACAGAATCTACGTGGAGAGCATAGCTATAAGCATGGAAGCGATAATGGAAATAATTACCCTCAGATTTCTAGATAAAATTCCCATCAATCTTCATTGAGAGGCCTCAAGCTCCTGAGCTCCAACATCTGCTGGCCCATTGTTAGAAGCATTCTCTGAAGTGCCTATGCAAGGACTGTTTCTAAATTGATCCATTGGTTGAGCCTGGGCCTCAATCAATGAACAAGAATTCTTAAGCCCTTGTTCAGAAAATTGTTTATTACTATTCATATTTTCATCAGGCAAGCACTTCACAGTCAAATTAGACAGGTTAGCCGCGTGGCTCCTATTTTGCGTCCTAGCTGAGATAGGTGAGTCAAGTTTGTCAGCATAATTTCCATTTAACTCCAGAGGCCTATGAAAGAGCAAATGAGCCACAGTTCGATCAATGGGGTTTGTCTCTGTTTCACAATGGGGCATCCTGACATATCTGTGATACCAATATAGTTCATACAGGGACGTTAAACCATAACCAAAGAAGTGCAATTGATCATTGTTCAAGCAAAATTGGCAAATCTAGTGAAGACATTACTTTCATCTTTGAATTGAAATTATGAGTAGGGATTCAGTTGGAAAACATGATTGTATGATTAATTTGTTAAACGCAAATCAGAAGAAATCAGTTATAGCAAATGAACTATGTTTTAGGTGACTGCTAATATAGTGTCAATGCT